CACCCAGGTATGAGAACAGCCACCTGGACACCTGCGTCTACGAGCTGCACGTCTGGCTGCTGGCAGCTGACCGCCGCTCCATCATCGCCCAGCACCACGTGGCCCCCCGGACCTCCGGGCGAGACCCCCGGGGCTGCTGGCTCCAGGTGAGGCCCCGCCCCGGACCCAGACGTGTGTGTCCCTATCCCAGGGGCTCCTGGAGGGAGGCTGAGGCCAGCGGGGTTCGGGGCTCCCTGATGAAGGCTCCTCCAAACCGGCGCTGCCAGGTGTCCCATGTATTCCGCCACTACGGCTCCGGCGTGCGCTTCGTGCACTTCCTGCACAAGACCAAGAACCGGATGGAGCCCGCCGGGCTGCTGCGGACGAGGGTGACAGACTCCTCGGTGTCTGTGCAGCTCAGGGAGTGACAGGCTGGCCGCTCGCCCCCTAGCCGCCCCAACAGCTCCCTGAGTCCTTGGCACCCGCACCTCACCGCCCCTCAGCTGCTCCCAGGCCCCTCACCACCTGCTGGCCCCGGGTGACTTCCTTGACTTCATCGCCCGCCCCTGAGTGGCTCTGCCATCCCTGCTCGCCCCAGCTCTGGGAGGGCAGCAGCCTCTTCTTCCCGAGGCAGTGCTAAGTAGGTGCTCAAGAAGTCTTTGAGGCCTTTAAATAAATACACGTGCCGAAGGACGCTGAGTATTTCCCGGTCTCTGGCCTTAGAACGTCACTGGCGGAGCGCAGCCTCCTGCCCTTCCAGCGGGCGCCTGGGCGCGGCCGGGGAGCGCGCTGAGGGGCACCCACGCGTGCAGGCGAGCTCCGCGCCCACGGCTCCCGTGCATTGCAGGCATCAACATTTATGAGCCGGCGCCCCCTACTGGGCCCACCCAGCGGCCTCTGGAGAGCCTGGGTAAGCCGAGGGCCTGGGGCCTCAGGGTGGGGTGGAGGAGGCAGGCTTGTTCTCACCCCTTGCGCCCCCACCTGCAGGCAACTTCCGCGGGTGGTACATCGGGACCGAGAGCCTCCCGCAGAACCTCAGGTCAGTGGCGGGGCCCTATGGTCTGCCTTGCTGGGCCCCCGGAACCTCAAAGCCACAGTATGCGAGCTTGCACAGAGCAGGCAGGCCACTCGGCAGCTGCCCTTCCCCTTCCAGACTCTTCCTCAGGAGGGGCGGTCACGTGCCACCCGCATCAGACAGCCCTGCTGCTGCCCGCGGGGAGGCCGTGTCCCGGCTCAGCGTGTCCCCCACCAGGTGGTGGCTCTGGCACCTCTTCGCTGCCTGACCTTGGTTGGGCAAGTGTTTCCTTCTTGCACCTGGTCTCCCCCGCTGCCCGTTCAGAATGCAGCACCTCACGTGGCCCCCGAGTCTTCAAGGGAGCCCTTGATCACGCCGCGGGGGTCAGTGGGGACAGTGAGCGCCCCCACTCCCGCGGCCAGGAGGACGCCAGAGAGGCCCGGGAATCCCAGCAGCCCCTGACCTGCCTCCCCGCCCCCCAGCTGGACAGTGAAGCAGCAGTGCATCAACCTCCTGGCCGAGGGCCTGTGGGAAGAGCTGCTGGACGACGAGCAGCCGGACATCACGGTCATGGACTGGTAGGTGTCTCCCCAGTGACGCTTGTCCTTGGCCCTCCCCGGGGGCGCCTGCCCTGCGGAATCCAGCCCCCGGCCCCGCTCTGGCCCCTCTCTGAAGCTCTGAGCCTTTGGGTGTTGCAGTGCGCCAGGTCTGAGGCCATTCTTTTTCCTCAGGCGCTTGCCCCCTGTGCTCTAGGGGGGAACCCCCCTTGTCCTCTTAGAGCTGGTCAGACAGGACCCCACCAGGAAGCTTTCCCCGCTGGGTCAGATTCCAGACACACCAGTGTGCTGACTCCCTCAACCCCGGGCCTGCCATTCCCACAGCTGCGACCCGTCTCCCCTCCCACCGGCGGGTCTCTGACCCCCGTGCGGACGGTGTGGGGCTCTCCGGTCACGGCTGGTTGCCAGCACTACCGGCCTGGGCACAGGGTAATGCCAGTCAGTGTGTTGAATGGTGACTGGGGTCGGGTTGCGGCTGGGACGCCCGCAGCTGACGGCCTGGCCCCACCCAGGTATGAGAACAGCCACCTGGACACCTGCGTCTACGAGCTGCACGTCTGGCTGCTGGCAGCTGACCGCCGCTCCATCATCGCCCAGCACCACGTGGCCCCCCGGACCTCCGGGCGAGACCCCCGGGGCTGCTGGCTCCAGGTGAGGCCCCGCCCCGGACCCAGACGTGTGTGTCCCTATCCCAGGGGCTCCTGGAGGGAGGCTGAGGCCAGCGGGGTTCGGGGCTCCCTGATGAAGGCTCCTCCAAACCGGCGCTGCCAGGTGTCCCATGTATTCCGCCACTACGGCTCCGGCGTGCGCTTCGTGCACTTCCTGCACAAGACCAAGAACCGGATGGAGCCCGCCGGGCTGCTGCGGACGAGGGTGACAGACTCCTCGGTGTCTGTGCAGCTCAGGGAGTGACAGGCTGGCCGCTCGCCCCCTAGCCGCCCCAACAGCTCCCTGAGTCCTTGGCACCCGCACCTCACCGCCCCTCAGCTGCTCCCAGGCCCCTCACCACCTGCTGGCCCCGGGTGACTTCCTTGACTTCATCGCCCGCCCCTGAGTGGCTCTGCCATCCCTGCTCGCCCCAGCTCTGGGAGGGCAGCAGCCTCTTCTTCCCGAGGCAGTGCTAAGTAGGTGCTCAAGAAGTCTTTGAGGCCTTTAAATAAATACACGTGCCGAAGGACGCTGAGTATTTCCCGGTCTCTGGCCTTAGAACGTCACTAGCTGCATTTCCACCGGGCCTGTCTTCCCATCCTTGACCCCCAGTGCCTCGCGAGCCCAGGGCCTTTGCCTCCCTTGGCTTCCGATGCATGCCATAACCCTGATAGAAGGCCTTGGCATCTGTTGACCTTTTCTCCCACATCGCCTAACTCCCAGAATCTTCCTGAATTCCTCTCCTTCCTCCGTCCCCACGCTGTGATTCTCCAGAGCGGTGTCCACTTTGCCTGGCCCCTGGTCCCGGCCAGAACACGGCAGCAGACTCAGGCCCTGATCTGGGGCCTGTCTTTGAAGGCCGCCGGCTGTTCCCTGCATGAAGGCAGAGGCCGCCCATCCCTGGCCGGCCAGAGCAGCCGGAGGGCACGAGGGAAGGGCGACCAAGGGGCATTTCAGTGCTCCATGGTCACCTGGGCACTGCTGCAAGTGGGTGTGTCCTGTGGGCACGCCTGACCCCATGTGGGACCCCTGAGCTGGCCGCCCTGTCCTCCCCCGGCCCCCAGCACAAGCAGAGGCAGACAGGGTCAGCTTTACAAAGGATCTATTACAGGGAAGGCAGCGGGCAGCGAGGGCACTCTCCTCCAGGGCTCAGGCTCCGGGGGCCAGGAAGAGGGGCTCTGAGGCATCAGTAGCATCTGCAACAGAATCAAAAGTATCATCAGGGAGTGCCAGAGGCTCAGAGATCCAGTTGTGGGAGGTTCTAGAAGTGTGAGATGGGGTGGGGGGCTGGGGCTGGGCTCCAAGGTCAAGAACCTGGTAGGCATCATGCCAGGGAGGTTGGGGCTGGGGACCTTAGAGCTCTGGGGAGAAATGGGGTGGGTGGTTTTGAGGGGTGCTCTGACAAGATCTAGGATCCCAGGGCCTGTGAGCTTGTGAGTGGGCAGAGGCTGCCCAGGCCCACCAAGGCCGGGGCGGGGTGGGGGGGGGCGCTAAAAGTGGCTTCTGGGGCTGAGATTGATCTAGAGAGTCTGGAGGTGGAGAGTGGGGAGCCAGCGGGCTAGACAGGGAGTTCTTAGAACCGGGTCTGGGATCTTCAGGCCTGGGAGCTCCGGAATCTGACGTTCCGGATGATTCCAGATCCCAGATGTAGGGCAGGGCTGGCTTTGGTTCTGGGGGCCCAAAGGTGAGGGGCCCCACCTCCAGGGTAGGCTGGGCCACTCCAGAGTTATTCTGGCCAGTGGGCAAGCCAGTCCCATTGGGGGTGGCTGGAGAGCGGTGACCTCAGGGAGGCAGTGGAGTTTGGGTCCTGGAATGACAGAGCTGGGTCTATGGGATCCGAGGGGCTGGGGGTGGTGTGTGGGAGAGGGGGTGTGGTGAGAGCAAGGGGAGCCTCGGGACTCCTCATTTGGGTCAGGGGCTCAGGAGTCTGGACAAGATGGAGGCCAGGGCAGGTGGAGGTGGGGGGCTGGGGCAGGATTGGGAGGGG